ACATAAGGAACTCTGTTATAACACCAGGGACTCTGTTAACACCAGGGAATCTGTTAACAAGAGACTCTGTTAACACCAAGGGACTATGTTAACCTTAGGAACTCTGTTAACACCAAGGGACTCTGTTAACACCAAGGAACTCTGTTAACACCAAGGGACTCTGTTAACACCAAGGAACTCTGTTAACACCAAGGGACTCTATTAACACCAAGGGACTCTGTTAACACCAAGGGACTCTATTAACACCAGGGACTCTGTTAACACCAAGGGACTCTGTTAACACCAAGGGACTCTGTTAACACCAAGGCTCTATTAGCACACCAAGGAGGACTCTGTTAACACCAAGGGACTCTGTTAGCACCAGGGACTCTGTGGCCTGGGAACTCTGTTAACACCAAGGGACTCTGTTAACACCAAGGGACTCTGTTAACACCAAGGAACTCTGTTAACACCAAGGGACTCTGTTAACACCAAGGGACTCTGTTAACACCAAGGCACTCTGTTAACACCAAAGGGACTCTGTTAACACCAGGAACTCTGTTAACGCAAAGGGACTCTCATTAACACCAAGGAACTCTGTTAACACCAAAGGGACTCTATTAACACCAAGGGACTCTGTTAACACCAAGGAATATATTGACCCAACACCAAGGGACTCTGTTAACACCAAGGGACTCTGTTAACACCAGGAACTCTCTGTTAACACCAAGGGACTCATTAACACCAAGGCCTCTGTTAACACCAAGGGACTCTGTTAACACCAAGGACTCTGTTGTACAGGAACTCTGTTGCAAGGGACTATGTTAACGCCAAGGAACTCTGTTAACACCAAGGGACTCTGTTAACACCAAGGAACTCTGTTAACACCAAGGGACTCTAACGCCAAGGGACTCTGTTAACACCAAGGAACTCTGTTAACACCAAGGGACTCTAATTAACACCAAGGGACTCTGTTAACACCAAAGGACTCTGTTAACACCAAGGGACTCCTCTGTTAACACCGGACTCTGTTAACAAGGCACTCTATTAACACCAAGGAACTCTGTTAACACCAAGGACTCTGGTAACACCAAGGGCTCTGTTAACACCAAGGGACTCTGTTAACACCAAGGGACTCCTATTAACACCAAGGGACTCTGTTAACACCAAGGAACTCTGTGGTAACAAGGGACTCTGTTAACACCAAGGAACTCTGTTAACAAGGGACTCTATTAACACCAAGGGACTCTGTTAACACCAAGGGACTCTGTTAGCACCAAAGGGACTCTGTTAACACCAAGGGATCTGTTAACACCAAGGGATGCAACACCAAGGGACTCTGTTAACACAAGGGATCTGTTAACACAGGAACTCTGTTAACACCAAGGGACTCTGTTAACACCAGGAACTCTGTTAGCACCAGGGACTCTATTATTAACACCAAGGGACTCTCTTAACACCAAGGGACTCTGTAGACACCAAGGGACTATGTTAACACCAAGGGACTCTGTTAACACCAAGGGACTATGTTAACACCAAGGGACTCTGTTAACACCAAGGAACTCTGTTAACACCAAGGGACTCTGTTAACACCAAGGGACTCTGTTAACACCAAGGAACTCTGTTAACACCAAGGAACTCTATTAACACCAAGGGACTCTGTTAACACCAAGGGACTCTGTTAACACCAAGGGACTCTGTTAACACCAAGGGACTCTGTTAACACCAAGGGACTCTGTTAACACCAAGGCACTCTATTAACACCAAGGAACTATGTTAACACCAAGGGACTCTGTTAACACCAAGGGACTCTGTTAACACCAAGGGACTCTGTTAACACCAAGGGACTCTGTTAACACCAAGGGACTCTGTTAACACCAAGGCACTCTATTAACACCAAGGAACTATGTTAACACCAAGGGACTCTGTTAACACCAAGGGACTCTGTTAACACCAAGGGACTCTGTTAACACCAAGGGACTCTGTTAACACCAAGGGACTCTGTTAACACCAAGGCACTCTATTAACACCAAGGAACTCTATTAACACCAAGGGACTCTGTTAACACCAAGGGACTCTATTAACACAAGGGACTATGTTAACACCAAAGGGACTCTGTAGACACCAAGGGACTCTGTTAACACCAGGAACTCTATTAACACCAAGGGACTCTATTAACACCAAGGAACTCTGGTAACACCAAGGGACTCTATTAACACCAAGGGACTATGTTAACACCAAGGACTCTGTTAACACCAAGGGACTATGTTAACACCAAGGACTCTGGACCAACGCCAAGGGACTCTGTGCGCAAGGGACTCTGTTAACACCAGAGAGGGACTCTGTTAACACCAAGGGACTCTCTGTTAACACCAAGGGACTCTATTAACACCAAGGGACTCTGGCCCAGCACCAAGGGACTCTGTTAACACCAAGGAACTCTATTAACACCAAGGGACTGTTAACACCAGGGACCTATTAACACCAAGGGACTATGTTAACACCAAGGGACTCTAGCTAACACCAAGGGACTATGTTAGCACACCAAGGGACTCTGTGGAGCACCAAGGGACTCTGTTAACACCAAGGAACTCCTATTAACACCAAGGGGACTCTGTTAACACCAAGGGACTCTATTAACCAAGGGACTATGTTAGCACCAAGGGACTCTCTGTTAACACCAAGGACTCTCACCAGTAACACCAAAGGAACTCTATTAACACCAAGGGACTATGTTAACACCAGGACTCTCTGTTAACACCAAGGACTCTGTTAGCACCAAGGGACTCTGTTAACACCAAGGGACTCTGTTAACACCAAGGGACTTCAATTGCACCAGGGACTCTGTTAGCACCAAGGGACTCTGTTAACGCAAGACTATGTTAACACCAAAGGGACTCTGTTAGCACCAAAGGATCCTGTAACTTTTAAGGGACTCTGTTAACACCAAGGGAGCTATTGACAAGGGACTCTGTTAACGCAAGGGGACTCTGTTGCTCAAGGGACTCTCGTGCTTACCAAGGATATTAACACCAAGGGACTCTGTTAACACCAGAACTCCTCTAATAACACCAAGGGACTCTGTTAACACCAAAGGGACTCTGTTAACACCAAGGGACTATGTTAACACCAAGGGACTCTGTTAACACCAAGGGACTCTGTTAACACCAAAGACTCCTATTAACACCGAGGGATATGTTAACACCAAGGGACTCTGTTAACACCAAGGAACTCTATTAACCTGCCAAGGGACTCTATTAACACCAAGGGACTCTGTTAACACGAACTCTATTAACGCAAGGGGACTATGTTAACACCAAGGGACTCTGTTAACACCAAGGAACTCCTATTAACACCAAGGGACTATGTTAACACCAAGGGACTCTGTAGACACCAAGGGACTATGTTAACACCAGGGACTATCATTAGCACCAAGGGACTCTGTTAACACCGAGAACTCTATTAACACCAAGGGACTATGTTAACACCAAGACTCTCATGGTACCAAGGGATATGTTAACACCAAGGGACTCTATTAGCACCAGGGACTCTGGTAACACCAGGAACTCTATTAACGCAAGGGACTATGTTAGCACCAAGGGACTATGTTACAACACCAAGGACTCTGTAAAGACTCTATTAACACCAAGGGATATGTGTTAACACCAAGGGACTCTGTAGACACCAGGGACTATGTTAACACCAAGGGACTCTGTTAACACCAAGGGACTCTATTAGCACCAAGGAACTCCTATTAACACCAAGGGACTATGTTAACGCAAGGGACTATGTTAACACCAAGGGACTATGTTAACACCAAGGAACTCTAATAACACCAAGGGACTATGTTAACACCAAGGGACTCTGTGACACAGGGACTATGTTAACACCAAGGGACTCTGTTAACACCAAGGAACTCTATTAACACCAAGGAACTCTGTTAACACCAAGGACTCTGTTAGCACCAGGAACTCTGGTAACACCAAGGCCTCTATTAACACCGAGGAACTCCTGTGGTAACACCAAGGGACTCTCTCAGTAACACCAAGGGACTATGTTAACACCAAGGGATTTCTATTAACACCAAGGGACTCTGTTAGCACCAAGGAACTCTATTAACACCAAGGGACTATGGCCAACACCAGGGACTCTGTTACTTGCCAAGGAACTCTATTAACACCAAGGGACTATGTTAACACCAAGGGACTCTGGCAGACACCAAGGGACTATGTTAACATAAGGGACTATGTTAACACCAAGGGGACTCTGTTAACACCAAGACTCTATTAACACCAAGGGACTATGTTAACACCAAGGACTCTGTAGACACCAAGGGACTATGTTAACACCAAGGACTCTGTTACACCAAGGGACTCTATTAACACCAAGAACTCTATTAACACCAAGGACTATGTTAACACAAGGGACTATGTTAACACCCAGGGACTATGTTAACACAAGGAACTCTATTAACACCAAGGGACTATGTTAACACCAAGGGACTCTGTAGACACCAAGGGACTATGTTAACACCAAGGGACTCTGTTAACACCAAGGGACTCTATTAACACCAAGAATCTGTTAACACCAAGGGACTCTGTTAACACCAAGGAACTCTGTTAACACCAAGGGACTCTGTTAACACCAAGGGACTATGTTAACACCAAGGGACTCTATTAACACCAAGGGACTGTTTATCCAAGGCCTCGTATACACAGTGTAGTATCTAGGCCCATTACTGTTTACGTGTTTACAGTCAACCAATAAAGTCCGTTGGCCTCCCTGAACCACAAATTCCCGAGATTCAGACTCGTGAACCCGAAGCACTAAGCTGATACATTATTCTGTCCATCAAGGCTTCGGTTTCAGGAGACTAAAGTATTCAGAACAGAATTGTGTATTAATATACTGATTCAGGTTCACGTGTCTGAATCTCTCGGGAGTTCATGGTTCTGAGGGAGAGGCGAACGGACTTTAGTGTACTACCAAACACACTATTCAAGGTATCTTCTCGCCGACAGCTGGCTCAGCCTATCCGGCTCCTGCTGGCCTACACAGAGACGGAGTTTGAGGATAAGACCTTCACTACAGGTCCGGCCCCAGACTATGTGGCCAAGTCTGACTGGCTGCCCCTCAAGTATAACCTCAACCTTGACTTTCCTAACGTGAGTAATACTTATTTGTTATTTTTTCTGCAACCTAACCTAACCTAACCTAACTTGCAAAATCTAACCTAACCTAACTTAACATAACTTACTCTAGCCTAACTTACCAAAACCTAACCTAACCTAACCTAACATAACTTACTCTAACATAACACCTAACCTAACTTACCATAACCAAACTACCAACTTAACATAAACACTTTCTAACCTAACCTAACCTACTCTGTTGTCATCAGTTGCCGTACTAGAGGAAGCATCAGGATCACGCAAAGTAACGCCATCTTGCGTTACATCGCTCGTCAACACAACATGTGCGGGAAGACAGAGGAGGAGAGAGTGAGAGTCGACATGTTAGAGAACCAGGCGATGG